ACGGGGGGGGGGTGGGTGAGCGCGTTAGCCGGGAGTATCGCGGGGGTGTGATGTGGTGGCCGGGGGAAGCGGGGCGGCTCTTTCCATATCCCCCCCTACACACGCACAGGGGGTGGCTTTGGGGGGCCGCAGGCGCCGTGCCCCCCTCCCCGGGGCCCTCCCGCCGTCCCGTCCGCCTCGCGTCGGCTCCCTCCCTGCCCTCTGTTTACTGCGTTGCGCAGCTGCCGGGTGCGTCCCCAGCTCTGTATTTACACCCGCAACACGTGCGGAAGGGAAAGTGGCGGAAAGGCTGTTAGTCAGTGAAAGACCTCGCGGTGTATCCGCCCTGAAGGAGCCTCAGTTAAGCCCTCCTATAACTGTTGAGCGGTTGAGAGGCCGATCTGGAGATTCAAATCAACTTGTTCTTCTTCTTGGACTTCTGTGTTGAGCTCTTAAGTACTCGTGCCTTCCGAGGCACGGCCTCTCAGGGTTGAGGTAACTCTCGTTGTTGAGATGTGCCTACACTGCAGCAAGGGTACAGTACATGGAAGCCACAAGTAAACCTGCTCTGTTACTTCTCAGCAGGGTAGTCAGGTGACTCCTTAGGTGTGTTCCTTGCTGCAGTTGCTGGGACAAAGCAGCCCAAGGCTGCTAGGGAAAGGTTTTTTGTTGTTGTTATTAAAAATGCAGCGGCACTGAGAGTCAGATAAAGCTGCCTTAGAGTGTATGTAACAGCTGTGCTATAAAGGGATCTACTACCATCTTTTAGATTAAGATCATCACAAAGTTATGCGCAGGATGCAGCAAACGATGTTAGGCTACTGGTTGATAATAGCATGCTTAAATTATACTTTTCTGCAAGATCTTTTAGCATCCGAGAAAATAACATGACTTAATAATTGGGTTATTGTCTTTAACACTAAAAACAGGACAACATTCATGGAGAATTCTAAATATTAGTAATTATTAAACAGTATTCTAGGGACTTGAAGGGTTGCAGATGTGTGGAAAGAGCATGTTCAAAGAATATACAGGAGTTGTAATTCACATGTCTTCATCATAAAATTCCATATTCATTTACTCTCTCCTTTGCTAAAATGTAAATACATGCGTATTTGAGCATACTTTGTAGGGGCAGAAAGCGATTTTGCGGGTTCAGTTGTCAGATGTCTTGTTTCTATTAAGATACAAGGCAACCTATATGTTTTAGTCTGTTTTATAGTTGAAACTTAAGTGTTAACGTGTTAAAGTTGTTTTCTTCCTTCTGTCATCTGGGAAACACTACAGAAATTCCTTTAGATTGTGATCACCTTATCACTTTCAGGATTATCATTGACTTGTTAGGTATAGCTTGCACTTGAGTATGCAAGCATGACGTACTGCTTATTCTGATTTATTTTATTTTATCTGAATAGTATGGCTTCCCTTCATGTTTTCAGAGACGTTTAACTATGTTTCTTCTTAGTCTCTTACTATTTAATGGTTTTTGCTTATGCAACTGGGAATCCTTTTGTGCATGTAAAATAAATTTGCTTCAGTTTGAAGAGTATAGCTTCCTTCAGCACGTACTTATAGTTCTCACTAGAGAGTTTTTCCCTGAAATTTGGCAGATTACAATGACTGCACCAAATAAAGCATTGGAGCTACAACTGCAAATGAAGCAAAATGCTGAAGAGCTGCAGGATTTTATGAGAGAATTAGAGAGCTGGGAAAAAGATATTAAGCAGGTGGATTCTGAACTAAGGAAACAGAGTGGTGTCCCAGAAGAGGTAAAATCACAAGTCCAGTGCAAATATTAACTCAGCTATTCATAATATGACAGTATTTCTAATAATTGCTTGTTTCCTTTTTTTCTGTTTTTTCCTCCTCATATAATGGTATAGATGTAGAAAGATACTAATTTTGCAGGTATTTTATTTGAGAGAGCCCAGTCCACTTCAGCAAAATTACATATGTTCACTTAAGATATCTAAATAGGTGTTATGAGCTAACTGAGCTGATGCCTTGCTCTTGATCAAGGATCCCTCCATAACTGCTTCACCAACAGAGCTGTTAACACAGTAGCTTCTTGAGGTGATGAATGCTGGAGGCCAGTACGTTTTTAACCAGCTCCAGGTAGAGCTAGGAAAATATTTCTATCTGCAGCCTCAACGTTGCTTATTTATTGCTGACTTTTAATATATTAATGTTATTCTCTGGTGATGTTCTTCAGTGAATTGTTTTCTAAAACTTAACTTTTTACCGTACATATAATGTATAGTGTTACTTTGTATTGAAAGGTTTATGCTTGCAGTCTTTACTGGTTTTACAGAATTCAGAACAGCTTGCTTGTTGGGTTTCTAAAACTAAACCAGCCAATAAATATAGCTACATAGCGTATGCCTTTTTTCTTTATTTATTTTTAAGGTTGTCAGAATCAAAAGAATGAACTTTAACTTGCTCATTTTACAATAACTTGTGTGGTTTATGCAAGAAAAAATATTTTTCCTTGTAAACATGAAAAATTGAAGTGGTCAAACATCTTAAGCTGAAATCTATTCTTTGTGGTTAATAAGAGTAGGGATACCTCTCTTAATCAGTCTTCTCCAAAATAAGTGACTTTCATGCTTCTATTTTATAATAAGTTACTTATTTCGATTTAGAATTTACCACCAATTCGAAACGAGGCTTTTAAGAAAAAGAAAAAAAGCAAAACTAAAGTCCCCTCTAAGACAACCACTGAGGAAAACAAGAAAAACAAGATCAAGTCCTACGATTATGAAGCATGGGGAAAACTAGATGTGGTGAGTCAGAATATCTGCTCGTTAACTTTGTTGTGCCCTCAGTTGATTTTATTTTAAATCGGATTTGTTGTATTGATGAGAGTTTGGTTTAGAAATCAGTATCTAGATGACGTGTAAGCTAGATGACGTGTAAGCACGGAAAATAGCTTTTTCTCAAAAGGGTTGTGTGTTGCAATTTGAAAAGTTGAGAAATACTGCCTATTTAGTTTTCTGTTGACAGTGCTGTCATCCAGCAGATTGAATTTGATTTTAAGAAAAAAAAGTCATTTAACAATAGGTCCGTGAAAAGGTCAAAATTCTAGTAGAATATAAGACTGAACACAGCTAGCAGTACTAGAAGATACATCTTTTACTTGTAAAATTTTTCTCAATAAGGGCTTTAAGCAGTAAAAATTTCTTCTACAGATGCACTACTTATTCTCTTAAAGTCTTACTTCATTTATTTTGTAATGTTAAATTATAATGAAGATAATGGTTTGTTTTCTCTGATTTCAGGATAAAATACTTGAAGAACTTGATAAAGAAGATAGTACGCATGATTCTGTATCTCCAGAATCAGACTCTGAAGAAGATGGAATTCGTATAGATGCAGAAAAGGCTCTTGCAGAGAAAGAAAAGGTTATTACACTGTAGATGTTCCTTGTTTACAAAGCAGAACAAACAAATGAGCATTTATAATTTCTTTTAAAAGATTGTCTGCTGAAACTACACTTCGGATGGGAATGTGCCTGTTCTCCAGATTCTTTGTTTTACTACCCTTTATTCCAATGATAAAGTTCTCGACACATTTATGTTCTCATCTGACGTTTCAGCAAAGCCTATTACACTTTGCTTAATGTACACTTATGATAATTAATCTATCTCTTTTTTTCTTTAAAAAGTTGGATTGCCATATAGAATTGCCTTATTGATCAAATCAGTGTTTACCTGAGAAGAAGGTCACAATGCCAAAAACTAAATCCCCAAGGATTTAAATTGATCCCTTTGTGAGGCCTGTAAACTTGGGAATGATGAACAAAGTAGTATGGCTCCCCTGCTTTGGTAATGGCGAGTTGGTAGCACTTCAGTTTTACACTGTTTTGCGAGGGGAATACAGCAAGCCCTATCTGATGCTTCCTCCTCTTCACCTACCTAGTGAGGATTTCTTGAGATACAAAATAAAAAATTTGTTCCGTTCAACAAAGGTAAAGTTGCCTGAAGATCTTCGGCAAGGTTTTGAATTTACAAAACCACTCTCCTCCCACTGAATTTAGGAGAAAGAAATAATGGCTGCCAGTTATCTGAACTTTTAAGACATATGGCAAACAGTCTACCATCTCTACAAAAATTTCCAGAGGAAAACTGCATAAATTCTGGTCTTTAGGTTTCGTAGGTATCCAGGATGCCTGTCAGACATGTCACGCCCACTATGAAAAGTCTGTTAGAACTGACTAAGTGCATAAATCTTGATTTCAACAGCATTTATTTATGAGAAAAATCAACAATTTCTGTACGGTTTCCAAACTGTGTTATTTGTCATACATGGCAGATTCAAGTAGCGCGGACATTTAATCAAATCACAATAGTAACTTTAGTCCTAATAAAGAATTATTAGGACTAATTATTATTAGAGTGCTGTTTAGCATTCTAGTAGGAATTTATTGCTTTCTGTCTGTTAGGCCCTTTCTTCCATAAATCTATTTACACAAGACAAAATTACCCTAAATTCAAATAAAAGCATCTTCTAGCAGCGCCAAGAGTAATTACCAAATAGCTGGCATAGAGCATTACTTGGTCTAGGAAAACAAGAAGTCTTGATGTTACCATACTTCAATGGCATGATGGGTTTTAGTTGTTGTTATTGGCCTTTTTTCTTGAAAAAAATTGCAAACCTCACCTATTCTATGTTAAGGCCTTTAGGTTTCTAAACTCATCAAGAGTCAAGAGTCCATTTATGAGCAGTTTCTTCCTTACAGTCCTAGAACCTTCTTGTTATCCCATTGTAATACGAGAAGGTTCTGTCAATCCTGTTACATGCTGAATGCTTGATATGTTTCTGATAGCATTGTGACAGAAGGATTCTTTTAATGACTTTTCCCAAATAATTAGTAACCCTGAGGGATCTGACATTACATTAAGTGAAATGAATAACTTGAACATTAGTTGGTCTGAGAGCTGCATCATCATATGAGATAGTCTGTCTAACTAAGTTAGTTATATAGAAGCTTCTGTGGTTCTGTGAAACTTTATTTTACAAACAAGTGCTTAATGTTATATATCAGTCCATAATTTCCTTCAGTAGAGTTTCTTAGTTTTTTAATGGGTGACATGACATCTGCTTTCTTTTCCTGCTGCAGTGGGGTTCTGTACTGTATCATCTGCAGTCTGTATTGACGAGAAGTTGAGGTATCTCTGACCTTTATCACCTCAACTGCCCGGAAAGAGATGAGGGCACATTAGGTGTCGGTTGTGTCCCAGAGGTAGCCAAAAAATAGAATCTCATACAATAGCAGTATGCTTATTTTGAAGTGAAATCCGTGTAGAAAGCTATTATTTTAGGTGAATAACTGTTCTTCTTCTCCACTTTGTTTTCAACTAGAATACATATTTTTCCTGAATGTCCCTAGTTTTAACAATGAGAAGAAGATAGATGCTTGATTTCTCTGTGTGTGTGTGTGTGTGTGTGTGTGTGTGTGTATTTTTTTTCATCTTTTTTTCCCCTTTGTTAAAGCTTTCAGGTTATTAGGATTGTTGTCCATTGATCTGTGACGTGAAAAGGAGAAAATGCAGGAGAGACTAGAATATTTACCTTGGGAAGCAAAGATGCGGAATCTAGTTGCTAGCAACTGAGACACTTCAGTAGTTCTGCGTGGCTATTTGAGTAGCTATGTATGCACTTATTCTCGGTTTACAAAAATGGCCTATAGATTCTGGAAGATCCTGAAAACAAGTATATAATAAATCCTTTTTATTGCATAAGTGATGACAAATATTTAGTATGGGATGTTTAAAGTGTTTAAGTTAAAAGAAAAACTTCAAGGTTAAAGCAGTACTTGATGAGAGATGTTAAACAAAAAACGTTTGACAACTCTAAAATATAAGGCTTTAGATTTTTTTCCACCAAAAACCAGTAACATATTAGTCAATATATACTAATTTACTAAAATGACACGTTTTTGTATTCACAGGGTAATAAATACTTTAAACAAGGAAATTTTGATGAAGCGATACAATGCTATACTAGAGGGATGCATTCTGATCCGTACAATCCAGTATTGCCCACAAACAGAGCATCTGCTTTTTATAGAATGAAAAAGTAAGATTCATATTGTTAAATCTTTCATATTTTCTTCTTTGAAATACTTCCTTGCTTCAGGTTTTTTGTTTGTTTTTACATCTCAATTATATTATTAATCATGCTGTAATACGCAGGTCTATATAGGACTGCAGTCACAATGTGCTTTGCAGTTTCAAAGTAAAATGGGGATTGCCCGGATAAGCAATGTGGTAGTCGCTCATCTTTTTTTCCTCTGTACTTTCTAAAGTTCAATATCTGTGCTACAATGTAAGAAATTTTAAAAAGAAAACAGGGAAAGTTCTCTATCTAGTTTGCCCTTCAGAGTCTTTGAGCACTGTTTCTAAGGCTTTAGTTTGTTTGAGGAGAAGAAATGGGTACAGGGGAGTTGGTTAAGTTGTGAAGTATGTAAGATTTCCACTTTGGAGAAAGCCTGTAAAACTTCAGACTAAGCTAACTTGCTAAGTTTTGGGGTTTATTCAAACTGTGTTCAAACTAACTCGTTCACGTTATTGATAGGTTTTCTGTTGCAGAATCTGACTGCAATTTAGCACTTGCTCTAGATAAAAATTACACAAAGGCTTATGCCAGAAGAGGGGCTGCTCGCTTTGCTTTGAAAAATCTTCAAGGAGCCAAAGAAGGTGGGTCTTTTATTTTTTAATGCATTTCTTATAGTACATGCAATTTATTCATGTATCTACCTGATTAAAGCTGGCGTGATTTACTCATTTGGTGTAGGAATTTAATTTCCACTTTCTATTAAAAAAAAAAAAAGAAGTAAAATACCAGATCTCATGTTTCTGGTAAGAGAAAATTCAAGTAGAATGTCCAAATGATTACTGTAGCTCTAAATAGGCCTGGAATAATTCAGTTTTAAAAGTCTTGGAGTAATGTGTTCTTTGTAATATATCCAGTTCTTTATGTACTACATCTAACAGTTATTTCAAAGGATGCTTGTGTTTTATGTTCTGTTACCTAGCCAGTAATTCCCACCTGAAACATTGTTTTCTGTTCTTCTGATAGATTATGAAAAAGTTTTAGAGTTGGATGCAGACAACTTTGATGCAAAAAATGAACTGAAGAAAATTTATCAGGTAATAGTAATGGTTACTAACAGAAGTTAATACGCAGTATTCAATTCATATCTGTGTCAGCTTATAACAAGAATGGAATTCAACAAAATCTCTTGAGTTTTTTCTATCATTTGACGTTAACTGAGGTCAAAGTCTGTAATTTCTTTCAGATTAACTGGCACGTATGCCTACATTGGTGTAATGGTAGGTTAGCAGACTAAGACCAGAGATGTGCGCCAAGCTCTGACCTGCCCCTCCTGCCCCTTTTTGCCCTTCAGATGTTTTTTCTACCTCCCATATTGTTTTTTCTGGTCATGCTTAGCATTTCGGTATAAACTGCAGGGTAGCGCTTCACATATGAGAACCTATAGATTCTTCTGGCCACAGAGTAAAGCTAACTGCTGGCATGCTTGTAGTCCCCCTAATTGCTGCGGTATGCCAAGCCAGAATGCAGGTTTAAGCCTGACAGAACATCGTAACCTGCTGCAAGTCTGACCCCTTTCACGACAGGAAGAGAATGGAGATCATGATGGCCTGAGTAGACCATAAGCTCAACTGGCATTGTGTGAACATGCTTGTGCCTCTTCAACTGTCGTTTTGAAAGGCTTGGGAAAGATTTTTTTCGAAATGAAGACCCTAGATTTCTAATAACTAAGTAAATGATTTGTAAGCTGGAACATATAAGCAGGTTCTGCAGATCATTTTCCACTGTGCTTCAGAAATTATATACCACTTCTTTATTATGTACTGTTCTGGTTCACAGTCCTTCACAGAAATATGTTTTCAAGGCCAGGTAGAATGGCCTCTTCAGTTTGCGGTCAAATTGTAACAAAAGCACTTCTATATAAAATGGTTGGGAAATTTTTACCCCTTAAAAGTTTAGAATTTGTATGTTCTGAAAGTATATGTGAGTGAGGAAAATACATGTTGAGAAACAGTGGTATCTTTTGCAGGCTTTGTCATCAAAAGAAAGTTCAGAACAGAAAGAGATTGAAGATGCAGTCAAACCTGAATTATCAGATGAAGAGAAGCAACACATTGAAGAGCAGCAGCTCAAACAGAAAGCTATTACAGAAAAAGATCTGGTAAATCACAGCTTTCAGTGTGACAGTAGAACTAACGCAGAAAAGTGTTGTGTTGTGCTGTTGGCTTTGCAAATGTATAAATTAAACTTCATACTTTCCTGAACTTCATAAATACAGCGTACTAGATATGCCCTTAATTCATTCCCATTTCTGAGTTCCCATTTTTGAGTTTCGTCTGCTTAGAATCTTCTGGAACAAAATTATGCAAGGTAGCTTTTACAGCACAGGTTGTGCACAGTAAATTTCACATAGATTGTAAGCTAAGTGAAACAAGAACTGTATTTAACAAAGACCCTATTTCTTCAGTATTATATGCATCTTAACCCCTGCTTACCCAAGTAGAGTTGTGGACTTTTTTTTTTACATTTTCAAGCCTCTGATTAGACAGTAAAAAGTAGCTATGTAAAAGAACTTCAGAAAGTGCAGGTGGCAGTGATAATAAAAATCTTTTTCTGGGTAAAGAAATAACATTGAGCTATGCATGATTTTCTTACTGTTCTCATATGTAACTGTTTATAACTTGTGACTTCTTGTTAATATTCATTTTTTCCATACAGTCTGTAAAAGGTGGTTAGTAGGAAAAGAACTAAAGCATACATTAGGCGATGGGAACAAAGTTTAGAAAAGGCCACAGAAAAGAAATTTTAGTCTAACGCAGTAGCTCAGTGCAGCAGGCCTACGTCACTGTAGGCGTGTGCCTGACGACATGGATCCTGTCATGCCTGAATTGTGGCCTTTAATTTTTGTTAATGAGGAGAGAGTGGTAGAAGAACAGATAAGAGACAGGGCTTTATAAACAAAATTTTAGTGCTGCATAAGAAGAGTAATATATATTTAGTTTCTTGTAAACAAAGTAAAAAAAATTGATTGTGACTGTATGGAGCATTAAATGAAAAACAACAGAAGCGTTTGGAGGATAACTGTTTTGTGGATGAAGCGGGATAAAGAAGTATTTATATAGAGCAGAGAGGGAAGTTATGAAGGTTAATTTGTGCAACTGGTGTTTAAATTGGAAAGGTCTGAGAAGTAGATCATGCATGCGAATTAGGCAAGGAAGCTGAAGCAAGTGGAAAGGTACGTTTCTGTTAAAGAAAATGCACGAGGAGTTAAAATTACTTGTGTGTGTATAAAGAAAAAAGTGCATCTTTGTGTCAAAGACTTAAAAAAAAAAAAAAAAAGAAAAGAAAAAAAGAAAAGAGCAGAGTCAGGAAACTCAAAATGTATGGTCAGAAAGGACTTCAAAGAGGATGTGGTCATGGTCAATAAGTCCTTTACCGTCCTGGTTAGGGGCTGCTCTTTACAGTGGGAGAGTAAAGGCAGTCTGTCAGAAGATGAAACAGTTACATTAGAAAAGAGAAGCAGAAGGGAGTTGAGAAATGAAGAAAAGTGGGCTTATACTGATAATTGCCCTTACATCCCCATCCTTAGCTTTGTTGCACACAGTAACTTAGGATAAATAAATAATTCTCCAATGCTGTAATCACTTGTTTGTCCCATAAAAAGAGGAGAGGAGGAGGAATAAAACACTTGAAATAACTGTAAAAAAAAAAAATTGATAGATGAATGTTTTGATACTAAGTTGATTTGTCAAGAATCGGTGGGAGTATTTTTGTATGTAGAATAGAAAAAGCCGTTGCAAATGTATCCTTTCATTGTTCACCCAGTAAGAAAAAAAACACATTAGAAAATACATTAAAATCTTTACTTTCTCTTCTGCAAATGCCTTATGATCTGTCAGAACAGGGGGAAGCAGGGAGGACCTTACCGATGTGTCCTGTTACTCTCCCAATACCGTACATGCAGGAAGGCAGAATGTTAAAAAGAGTCAGCAGTTGCTTGTCATCTGATTTGGGCATTTTTCTGAGGGGAGAGGCATTGTTTGTTTATTTAAAAGCAAATTCTGCCTTTACCTAGCTAATTTTGACCTTGCAAGGATTGCAGGCAAGCATGAGGCTTTACTCTTTTCTTCCTAGATTTCGTGAGGGATGCCTTTCAAAGCAGTAAATAGGAGGGGGAATATTTATAGACATGTATTTTTTGAAATAGTTTATATTCTTCGGATTAGCCTTACTTTTTAAGCAACTGCAAAATTCAAGTATGGGCTTCAAGAGGGAAGGGAAAGGTAAGTGAACTGATAAAGCATTCTGTGACGAGATGACGTTTCAGCATGGCATTATTTAAAGTTTTATCCATAGACTATGAAGGATTTGTTTGGTCCTTTCTTTTGGTTTCGGCCTATTTTTTTCTTCTTTAAGAATTCCTTGTGTTGCTCTTAACTTTGGCTACAGAGTGGCTTATGCTACACCTGAGGAGTGAAGAAAATATCATTAGTATAGACTTACAAGTCTGCTCTTAAAAATTTGGCTGCATGCATTGTTTATCCTTGAAGTACTAGAACAAATGAGGATCTAGCCTTTTGTGGTCTCCCTTCAAAAGAGCATATATATGAAGAAATATGCCATAAATATCTGCCCTGATATGGGTGGTGCTTATGATCCATCGTCTTCATACTCTCAGTTCACAGTGATCCTGTCAGCTTTTGTCATCTTGTTAGCAAATTGCACTAGATCTTTTTCAATGTGGTTTTTTTTTTCCCCTAACATAAATATAACAGGGTAACGCTTATTTCTTTTTAGGGAAGTATGAAGCTGCAATAGAGTGTTATACACGTGGTATAGCAGCAGATGGCACCAATGCACTTCTGCCAGCTAACAGAGCTATGGCCTATTTAAAGATTCAAAAGTAAGTAGTAGTGCAGGTACAGTACTGTTTCTTTCCTTGCTGTGAATTAATAGCAAAAAGAATCCAATGGGTTTTCATTCAAGTTCAGTTACTGTAGCTTATCATAATTCTTTCTAGAATTCGGTATAAAAAGAAGCATATGGAAAGAAATAAGGGAGAGAAATATGTATGTAATCTTGCAGTGTACATCTTAGGGGGAAAAAATTAAACATAAAATAGGAACAGTCTGAAATTGTAATGAAATCTAAATAACTTTCCTAAAACTTGATTTTTTTTTAATGTTCTTCCATGTGTGTAAAGTTCTAGTTTCAAAGGGCCTGCCTAACGCTATATATATATTTTTTTTTTTTTTAATAAAAAACACTGTATAAAGTAATGGATAACTTCTGACTTCAAAGAGACTGGATAGACTGGATACACTGAAAATGAACATCTTTTAAAATATTTTTTCTTTAATTCCAATGTGAACCTGTAGTTTGCTCATTTTCAGTTAAGCTTTACTCAAATAACGCAGTAAAAGTAGGAAATGTGCCACATGAGAGACATTCCACGTGACCATTTTTGAAGTCTCTGAATTATTTTGTTTCAACTACCGAATTATAGTATGACAGTTTCAATCTTTTAAACTGGCAGCATGGAGAGCAGGAAGCTGAATGCTGTGTTGCTGTGTTCTTCTAACATGACACGGCTGGGTATCTGTAGAAACCATACATTCATCTCAAATTGTAAGATTATAAAATACGTTGCATGGGTAATAATTTTGTATCACAACGCTTATAATTTAGTATTGAAGCCATAAGAAAATGTCATAATACAAATAATGTTGTCTGAAAAACAGAGAATCGGTAAGTTGTTGTTTAATTGAATGACGAAGCAAGAAAATTGTTTCTGTAAAATAAATCAGTGTATCTTGGGTCTGTACGCTTCAAAGAGGACACAAATATAAAATGCACCAGAAGCTCATTGATATTCACCTCTAGAACTGATCAGAGCTGCAAAAATACTTAGTCCCTAGATTTATTAATAGAATGAAGGAGGAGAGAAGAGGAATGAAAGAAAATACTTTAATATGTACATAGTGGAATCATGATCAAATATAACTGGAATGAGGAAATTTGATCCTACATTGAAAACAAGTTACAGTAATGCAAGGATATGCTGAATTGGACTGTAACTATTTCAAAATGATAAGTCAAAGAAATTCAGACCTAGAGAAATTATTTTGCATATGCGTGTTTTTCATTTCTTACGTTCTTTTGTTTGTAAAGTGGAAAGTCTTGGAAGATTTTAGAAATAGCATATTGCCTGAATTAAACCTGAAACCTACACTGAGGCACTCTGACCTAAATCAAACTGCTTTATATTAGCCTAAGTCATTAGAAAGCGCAAGATGTTTAGCACTTTAAGTCCTGGATCTTCCGTTTTTAAGTTATATTTTAAATATTTTGGGTAGCGCTGTCTTTTCAATTGAAACTGCTTCTTTTGAGAGTGCTTATTAATTTTGTGCTGCTCTTCTGCTGAGATATGAAGAGGCTGAAGATGACTGTACACAAGCTCTGCTGTTAGATGCCTCCTATTCTAAAGCTTTTGCCAGAAGAGGGGCTGCCAGAGTTGCTCTTGGAAAGCTAAAAGAAGCTATGCAAGGTAAGACTAAATTAGCATTAGTGGGTGGGTAAGTGGTGAGTAGACTATTGTTGTCTTCTAATAGCAGTTAAATCAGTTGCTGACTCATTGAGATTGTTAGTGCAAAGCTTAAACAACAAACAAAACGCAACCTTTTTTTTTCTGTACTAGAATATGTATAAAAGGTTTGTGTTCATGTCCACATGGTAGGAAGACAGTTTTGTGAGAAATTATATATGAGGAACAGAGGGATTGCCAAAATCATGTAACTTATTCCTCAAAATTATTAATTAGAATTTATGCTAATTCACTGTTATTTCACATATTAAAAGAAACTTGTATGTGCTGGAGGTGTGGAAATACACAGGCTCGGCATCAAAACAAACTTTAATTCTTGTCCTAGTCTCAAATTATGTATGAAACATATTTCATGATTAAGGACTGATTTATTACAGACTTAAGTTAAAAAGCAAGCAAGAGAAGTAAAGAACGTTGTACTTGATTTTGTTCTACGTATCTGCTCTTTTTTCATGTTGCTGTGAGGCAACATCAGGCTTAGTTGGGTGTCCTCTGTTAGTTCCTGAAAAAATGTAGAATTCCATACAAATTTGAGTGTATTCTGTGACTACTCTTCTGTTGCTTACAATAAGTAGTAAGAAATAGTTTGACAAATGTGTTTAAAATTAGATTGCAGTATAAACATTAGGATGGCTTATCCGATGTAAATTATTTTAGAGCTATGAAAGGAAATTGGGAGTTTTAAAGAATTTACCAGTACTTCGTAACGTCGGTTGAAATGTGTACAGTTTTCATATGTTAATTTTTCACTCAGATTTCGAAGCTGTTTTGAAGCTGGAACCTGGCAATAAACAAGCAATAAATGAACTCACTAAAATAAGGAATGTATGTATGCTTGTGATTATTCTGTTTTTCTAAGCTTATATTAATAGAATGTTTCATTCTCTGTTAAGTAAATTTAAAACATCTTGCAGTCAATCATTTCTGAAATTTTTGATCATCTGAACAACAATCTTTTCTTTTTTTAAGGAGTTATCTGAGAAAGAGCAGTGGACTCATCAAGAATATCCAGAAATATTGGTAAAAGAAACAGAAATAAAAAATATAGTGAAAGTCATTGATAAACCATCGCACCTGAAAGCAACAGTAAGTGGTTTTGTTTTGTGATTGAATATGTAGAATGATGGAAAAAATAGAGCTTAAAGTTAAAATCCACTTCTTGCTTATTTGTGTAGACTGCCTCCTGATAGGTATGCCTTACATATGAAAACCCAAGATTTAGAGATTTACCTCTTTGATGTTTTTCAAGAACATAACTTCTACATTTCCCTGTGTTTGTAACAGTGAGTACAGTAGCCATGGTGTAAATACTCAGCCTACACTGCTGCTCAGGAAACATGGTAAATGCCTATTACAGTAATATGAAATGAGGAGGCAATAGATACCACTAACTCTCTGCTGGGTCCACAGCTGACAGGGAAGATCAGAAGAAAGGGGAGGCAACTGGTTGCAGAGACTTAAGAAAGCTGTGGGTAAACTCCCTTTCTCTCTGCTGTGCTAGATTTCTGTAGTAGGTTTAGCTGTAACAAGGCATATTGCCTATTCTTATTCGCATACTCTGGTGTCACCCAAGGCTACTGCAGTTACCTTGAGCCTGCATTTTCATCCACATAATATGTAGATTAGCTGGCCAATGGTTTACGAGAAGTGTTATTTTAGGAGTGCAGATTATCTGTGGTACTAGTGAAATTAATGAGTTACACGGAAGAAAATATGGCAATGTAGTGAGCCATATCAGCTTTTTGTATGCATTAGGCTGCCCCTTTTAGTACACTTACTATTTTCTTTTGTACATTCAGAAGCAAGTTCCTCTGTAAATATAAAGTGTGTTCATACTCTGTGTAGAATACTCTAGTGTTCTGCTCTTAATAACTTTTTTACTTTTGTTTATTGCTTTTAATTGCATAGTTCAAATGGATAGTTCAGTAGAAAAGGTACGATTATTTTAATACTGATTTTAAAACGCACTACATGCTAGATGAAACATCTCTTAAAAACTGAATGAAGTCGTTGTGAAGTAACTGAAATACTGTAGAAAATTATATTCAATTTTCAATGTGACTGCTAAATTAATTGGAGATACTAGGCTACTGTTTTTATTTTAATTCTGTTAAGGTTGGACAAGTGTTAGATGAAGCATTTCTACTCTTTTTATTGTCCAAGGAGTGCAGAGAGCACTGTAGTTTTCTCTGTCTCTTACCCACTCTCCCAGTCCTGATACAAGGATGGGATGGGATGTTCTCAAAGCAAGCCATATGTTGTCTGTCATCACCAACCCAACAGGGTTTTTGGGCCTAATTTAAAGCAATTTGCAAACTGCTGTGGAGACTTATCGTGGAGTTGTGTTAGCTCAGCGGAGAAATCTGTCATATCAAGACATCTAAATTTTGAATATGTTTAATTGTGTATATTTGCAGAACAATATATACTACATTTTATGTTCAGTGAATGGAATTCCCAAGCAGAAAGTGATGAATTTCTTACTAAATGATGTCTCCTCTTAAGTACTGTGAAGCTGATGTTTGGCAATATTCAGAAATAACGGTGATCGTTCAGATGTGAAATCTAATAACTGGCAAAACTGGAACAAGCTGAAGCATTTTAGCTGCATAGCATGTCCTCCAGTGGTGGAACTAGTTGCCTTGAGATATATGTAACTTGGTCAACCAGTAAGACTGAGCTACAAATATTTATCATTTCAAAATTTGAAGTTTTGTATGTAGAATAAGAAGTTATGTATGTAGAACGTCAATTCCTATGTTGTTAGATGCTTGTTTGGCCAAAATGTGGTTGGTCAAGCCGTTGGTCAAAATTATATGGTAGTCCTTGCCGTTGTTAGGAAAAAACAAAAACTAATGATTTTCCTTAACTGGAAAAGCAGAATGCAGATTTCGGGATTCTCTAGAGTAAGCATACACTGATTCATAAGGGATAAAGCAAGAGAATGATCATAGAATACTTTCCATAGAATGTGTTGGAGTTTCCTATTTTGGCATTTATTTTAACACAAAGCATCTTTTGTGTGCACCAACGCAGGTGAACCTGGTTATCATGAGATAAGTTTAAACACGGTCATTTTTCTAAGGACTTTATCTACCCTGATTTAAAGGCTAAACACGTGACGTTAGGTATGTGTTCTGTTTAGAAGCCTTTGAGAAGAATAGTCATTGAAGAAATTGACGATGACATACAAAACAGTGATTTGCCCAGCACTTCTTTAGTCAACAGTTGGAGGAGTTCTACACGTATTGAAACAACTGCTAATCTAAATGAAGATGATCTGTTAACTACAATGGATATTCCAAAAGCAAAGCAGTTGAAAATAGAAGAAATCGGTGATATGCCGACATTACAGTAAGTATAAAAATTCCAGTTCCCTTTTTGAAAGGTAAATGTAGTTGAAATCTTCATTTTCAAATTTCTACACATGATGAGTTAGAACGTGTTTTGAAGAATTTGGTTTACCAAAGAAAATGTTCAAAGAAACCTAGAGTTCTTGCACATATGTCTCTTTGATTATGTAATGATGGAAACAAGTATTTAGGGTGAGAAGGAAAACTGTTTAACTCGAATAGTTTTGCCCTTACATTCAAAATATAAAGGAATTTGTAGTATTTTCCTGTATATCATACTTTTTTACTTGTGCCCTTTATCCTTCTCATCTATGATTTTTATTTGAGGTATTCTAGATTTTTAAGCACAGCTCAGACACATTCTTTGCACACCAGTCCTGTGAGTTGAAAGGAACAGAGATGACAATGTCACTTACTACTCTTTCCTCCACTGAGCAGGCAGCCATTAACTTCAGGTTTGCTCAGTCTTCCTGAGGGGCCGCTGTGTTACCTGGTCCTAGGTGACTAGGTGAGAGTAGGCTGAGTATAGAAGGAGCTATACTCACCTTTTCCCAGGCAGATGCTGGAACTCTACCTGTTATCCGTTTAGGAAAGCTTTGTGCACACCTTCATTTGTCATCTCTTCATGTTAATAGCAGATGCTTTCGGTGATATGCTGATTGATGACTTCCTGTGAGAATTCCTCCCTCACACTCCCCTTTCTCAGCTCAAATGGATTTAATGTGAAATGTTGAAGACAAAAGTATATTTTATAGCCATTTTATGAAAAATAGATGGACTTAAATGACAGATTATAGGACAACAAATGGCTCCACTGTAATCAATGTTGAAAACCGTTTGTTCATCTGACATGGTTATTGTTTCACATTATGAAATTACAGAAAACCTAGTATTTTTGCAGCTGTGTATGGTCGATATTTGTACCATAAAATGTAGTTATTTTCAGAAACAAAGTGGAGACAGGCTGAGTATATTTATCAGTATTTGCAAATGTATTTTTAAGAAAAGATAAATCAACTGTAAGGTTTTTTGCAGTTTGAAGGGTTTTGTAGTTTGTTTGTTTCTAAGATACCCACTTAAACAAAACTCCTATAAAAATTCTAAAAATCATTGTATCTTAGATTTTTTCAGGAATCCATAGAGCTATCGTTCCAATTAGATCTCAGTGTAAGATTACTCAAACGTTTTCCTGGTTTTTAAAGTTCAAAATCTCTCTGCAGGCTTCCTAGCAGTGTGAAAGGAATTTCATCAATTATACATCCGTCTTTCACTATGAAAAAGAAGATAGAAGAGGAAGTAAAAACATCAACTCGATCTATGTCTCCAGTCCCTGTTATTCCTGCAAATTCTTTCCAGCTTGAGTCTGATTTCAGAAAGTTGAAAGAATGTCCAGAAAAAATGTACATGTACCTGAAGGTATGAAACGTAGTATTAATCTGACACTGAAGAACAGCACGAATGAGTAAAAAGGGTAGTTGCATTTAGAATGACTTATCAGTGTACTGTAGTCTTTCGTTTAACTGTTTGCACATAGTATTTAAGTAGCTTGATCCACATTTAAGTGGTTCTCCTCTTGCGTGATTTATTTCACTTTCAGTATGGTCTCTGCATAAATCTGTCTCATCTCTCAGACATTGGCCCTGGTTGTGGAAACACTTAGTAGGCATGTTAAATTCTGTTTTTTCAGATGAATAGTTGTAGCTTAGTTAGGCTTGGGCAGCATTCTTTTCTCTCTAAGCTGCACTCATACTTGAAGCACCTCAGTCTACTTAACATGTGCTTCTGTTTATGCAATATTTGGCAAAAGATTGTTTTTTAAGAAGTTAAGTTAGCAATCCTCTTGCAAACTCCCCCAAAAAACAAAATTAATTTATATTCAACATAAGCTTTGTTCTACGTCAACTAGCACAGCAGTGATTTGTTTTTCTTTGCTGTTGTTCTGCACTTCCAACATTCTGATTTTCTGATTCTCATGACTCAATTATATTTTTTTGGCCTATGAATAACATTTTTTTTTTTTCTAACTCTTCCAAAGCAGATAGAACCTTCGTTTTATCCGAAACTGTTCCAGAAGTCGTTAGATCCAGATTTGTTTAACCAGATACTGAAAATTCTACATGACTTCTACATCGAGTAAGTTTAGTTCCTTCCTTGTTGTGTAGAGGTTTACGTTGCTTGTTTCCGTTCTTTTCTGTCCTTCCCCCTCACCCCACTCCTGGGTTTGCAAAACTATTTCCAGCATATAGCATTACATTAGCAGGATACAGTCATTGGAATGACACAGCTGTTCCCTCTTAAAAAAGTTAAACTTATCTTGAAAAACTAGATTGAAGTGAAAAGAGATATATATATATATTTAAAAAAAAAAGCATTTACTATATGTTGTTGACTTCAGTTCCTATAACTAGCATTGGTAACTGATTATTAGATTGTATGAAATAGTTTATCTTTTGTTCTGATTACTGTCTCTGCTGTTACCACATATAGTTGCACAGTATTAAGTTTTTAAAAGAAGAAATAGCTAAGAAATGCTGACAGTTTCATTTTTTAACTGTGCTATGTTAATGGTAACATAGCTTCTGAATTTTATTTTCGGTTAACTGCTAGCGTTCTACAGTAAAGCAGTAGGCTGTAGCAAATAAGTGTTGGAGCCAGAAGTTCTTATAAGCAAGGACTTATAAGCAAGTTCATTTTTCATGTTAGATGCAATGTGCCACTCCTGAATTACTTCTGTCTTAGAATTTTAGATTGTTCTGTGCCGAAAAGCAAGCGTAAATGAATATTAGCCTTTCCCTCAATTTCTTTAAAGCAAATGTCCACCATATGTGTGAAACATGACATGCTAAGCGTTGTAGACCTACGTTTGGTGGTATGGCATATAAAGACTAAGGAGTTGAAATTGTTTGTAGTAAGGTAAAAGGTATTTCTCTTGGAGGTAGACAGGACAGGCTGTTAAAGAAAAATGCTATTTATTTTTAGAATTTGTGACACAGACAGTAGGTGCTTACTGTTGCCCAAAAGACTGTAAAGTGAAACTGCAGTCTTGGAATTTTCTTTATAGATAAAAATGACAGCAACTGTAATGTGCTTGTGGCTGAGTTTTCTATAACCACAGAACACGTGTGTGTGTGTGTGTGTGTGTGTGTGTATTCTCTCTCTCTATATATATATACACACACACTCATACATACATACACACATACTCTACTTCCTACTAAAGTGTAGAGAAATGGAAAACTTATGGCAAGGTGTAAGCATTAAGTCATATAATAGCTCTTTTGTGCCTCAACAACAATCACTTAGCATCTATCCATTTTTTTATGTTTCTTCACTCTTGCTCTGTATTATTAGGAATGCTTGCGTACAGATGTGTAGATGATTGGCTTTTTGCTTTGTGAGTTGAAGAATAGGCAGGAAAGATGAGAAAGGCAAGGAAGGAAGTTCCATTGGTCCTTTAATGTGACATTCTTGAAGTCTTTAATCCTGTTTGCAGCTACCTAATCTTTCTAATCAACAGTAGTTATTTTTATGTATCTAATAATCTTTAGGAAAGAAGAGCCATCACTCATCCTTGAAATCCTCCAGAGGCTATCGGAATTAAAAAGATTTGATATGGCCGTGATGTTTATGTCAAGCTCAGAGAAAAAAAGTAAGTAATTCAGTAACATCTTTTTAAACTTGGATTGTGATACTGTAGAATCTAGCAGGATTATGTAAAATGTAGTGCTACTCTTATTAGGGATGTTGCTGTTCTACGAGATGCACGTGTCTCTTAGTGGAAGCTATAGGTGCTTTACTTTCATTAGAGCTCAATCTTCATAGATGTGCTACTATTTATTCTATTATATCATCAGTTAAGACAAGTTTACCTATCTGGTTAGATGCTTTTTTGATGAATTTAGAAGCTAATACGAAAATGAAGTTTTTATTAATATTTCAGTTGCTTATTAAATAACAAAACTTGATGATTTAGTTGTAGTTTTCTCTGTTTTCATAAACAGTACCACCATATTTGTCTGATAACATTAGCTCTACAGTTAGCAACTAATAATGCCTGCGTTCATATGAAGTCTTCTTATGTCAAAGGTACATGCTTCTTAAAAGGTGTCAAAATTATGCCATTTTCACAACTTGCAGCCGTTTCTTGGCAACAGTGACTTTACGACTGGCAACTGGCGTCAGGCTTTATTGTTCTACCGGTGAATGATTGCCATGTTAGAACACAACTACTGCAATGCATGTTAAGTAATGGAGGCCATCAAGCAGTTAATCAAGTCTGTTGTGGCCCCCCTCACTCCCCTACCACTTAATTGTGTCTTTCACAGAGGTACTAAATTGGTTAGTTCTAGACATTGGCTTTGTCCAGCTTACCTACAAAACAGACTGCAGCAAAAAGAATGCAAGTATCTCCAAACCACTCAGCCTGTTTGTCTCCATCCTTCTCTTGAAGCTTCAATTAGATTAGTTTGCAGTTCAGGTTGACTTTGGCTTGAGTTTCTGGTTCATAAAAGTGTGCATTTGTCTGTCTCTATTTAGCACCCCAAACAGACTATATAACAGTGAGGCACTTAAAAGCAAAGATTCCTGTGGAACCTGTATACATCTGAGTTTCATTAATAGTCATCATATTTTCACATAGCAGAATTTTTAATCTCTTTGGAATAAAATTTCTTGTTTGACACTTATGGAAGTACAAGTAAATTCCACCTGCAACTATGTTACGTGGCATTCAAATCGTAACCTTATGTAAGTTTACCTGTCATTTGGCATTAACTTTTTCTTCTGCCTTTAATTGCACAGTGCCAAGATAGTAAACAAAATGAAATCTGTGTTATCAGGTTTATACACCTGTTTAAGAAGACTTTTATTAGCCAGCTCCAGTGCATCAGAACAAAGAGAGGTCTTGTTACTTTTTTTTTTCACCTTCTCAATGGCAGTAATTAAAAAAAATAAATAAATTTCAGCAATATAATCCAACCCTTACTCTCACTGAGGAAAGAGTTGGGCTAATTTACCTTAAATCTGGGAATCACAGAAACAACAATTAATGATGAATTTCTATTTTTACAGTTGTGCAAGTATTGTTCAGCCATGTGAAGAACATGGGTTTGAAAGATCCTTCTGTTGAAGAACTGGAAAAGAAATACGGAGTTTTCTCTTAGTGAGATTGCTGATATTGCACATGTAAATTACTCTATTTCCGCACTTCCTTCTTGTGGAAATCAGGCGAAGAAGTCTATACAGACTGGAATTTTGTTGCTTTTGTATAAGTAATGAAACCTGTACACTTGATTGAACCAAATGGCAAGTGCCTGGAGAAATAACGACCTAACTGCGCAGGTACATTTGCTTTCCAACTCCTGCAGCGATACAGATCTACATTGTCTTCAGCGGACTCTGTTTGTCAAAAACTGCTTGAGTGGATTGGCATTCAGGATTGGGACTGTGGATAGAGATCTTTACTGAAAAGGAAAAAATATATAAATATGTCTTTGGTAAGAATCAAATGATTTACTTGGTGTCCATTACAAATTTGCTCTTTTTTATTTTAGAAAATAAACTAAATGTTGAATTCAAAATACCAAAATTATCAGGAAGCTTCTTTATTAAGGTGCTAAATCACTTTTCTCTAAAGATACATCACACCAGAACATGCAGTATGGTAAACAAACCTGAGGTATGTTGGCCAAAAAACTACAGAATTCCTTTTACTTGAGTTTCTCTTACTGCTTATCTAAAAGCTGAATTTTGGCATTGACAGCTAAGATGTCCCTGTGAACCTCAACTGTAATTGCAGAGTAGAAGGAAGCCAAATACCATGAAATTAAAAGGTGGAGGGAAATGGGAGTATTTTGTGTTCTCTGGGCAGTACTTTTAAAATAATCTGATCAAATTTATCCTTTGGGTCAATGGGTTCTAAATAAGTAAAGCTCTTAAGCCTCAGAAGGCTAAGCAGAACACCTTTGCAAGACAACAAAGGCATGAAATAACCTGAAATTCTCAGATGAGAAAAGAAAAAGAGTTAGGCAAAGACATAATAAACTCTTCTAACTGTTCACATGACTAGAAGAAGGAAAGAATAGCACTTGTCAAGTTTACTTTAAAATGTAATATCCTAGTATGGCTTCCAAAAATTTACCAGCGCCTATGTCTCTAGACTTGACGGTATCTTTTTATCCTGTTGGTATTTATTCTGTCAGGTTGCTTTCACCGTGATTCAGACTTTGTGCTTTCCTAGTGCTTCTCTTACTATTGAAGCTATCTGACATTAAGCAATGCTTTTGTTTCGGTAGTTGTGCTCTTTTTCACAGGACTAGTGCAACAATTACAACATTCAAATAGAATTCAAACTTCCGAGGTGGATTAATGGGAATAGGAGTGAGTGTTACCTTCTGTGTAGTTGTTTTTTGAAATCTAACTTAAAACTTTCCCAGCTGTGTAACGTTCTAGTTCAGATGCAATTCGGAGCAAAAAATGTAACTGAACTACATCCCCGACTGGGTCTGAGTATCAGCTGATATGAGTGAAGGGGCTAGGTCACGAAGGTAGCTTTGAATTAGGCCTGGAAATAAATGCTAGGAACATAACCAGTGTTCTTAGGGAAATGGAAGAGCCTTTGTAGAACACTGCTTGCTGCTTACCTGCACCGTCAACTGTTATTGCTAGGTATGTCTCATGTTACTTGATAACAAGCTATCTTTTCCCCCTGTTGTAAAGCACTTCTGATAACGTATAAGTGATATTGCTGCAACAAATAGATGTGAATAAAAAGTAGTTACCAAAGTAATTTTATATACCTGTTGAGATACAGATATCCTCTAATGGACTGTTAACGTTTGTCATATGAGCTGGTATATGCCTGTCTGGGTTACGCTCATGGAACACTGGGTGTCTTACCAGGAAGCTGTTTCCTGAAGGCAGTTGGCGGAGAGTAGGTGATTGTAATATGGGCCCTTAAAAGTAAAAGCGCAAGATGATGGCAGAAACATTGACAACCGTAGGCCAATAGTCACTTACAACTCCATCTACCCTGCTGTGCTTTTACTGAGAACAAGCTGCTGCCTTCTGGTCCCGCTATTGCTTTTGTGCGGAGTCGTCCTCAGTATTTATACATGATGAGGAAGGCTGGTTGGAAGGAAGCTGTTCATGTATGTAGAATTTGGTGATGTGGATGGATGTATCTGGTTCGTGTTTCTACGGAACTTAGGCCACCAGGGTTTAATCTTGCTCATTGCGCTATGCTGTAGCTTGTTGCTTATACTTCTAAATGCAACATCTGATAGTAGCCTGCTGGAATAAAGTCCTTGAGATTATTTTTCCATGCATAAAAGCAATGCAAGATGGGCAACACAACGCAGTATTCAGAGCACTGCAAGCTTAATTTGCTCCAGCAGATGGCAGTATTTTTTCCCTTCTAAATTGGAGATTGCTGTATTGCTGATTTGAAAAACTTAATGAAGCATGGAGAAACTTCATAGATCTGAAGTAGATCAAATCAAGAATTCTCTTTTGGGGGAGGAGGAGGCAAAGGTTTTTAGGGTTTTTTTTGTTTGTTTTTTTGTTTTTAAACCAACACCATCTCGACGGTGTTTCTGTTGTGTTGGGGGGGCGGGGGGAAGGCTAAGGTAAGTAGAACAAGGCAACTAAACTGTGTGGAGTAGCTTGTGACCTGCTATGCTATCACATTCAAGATGACAAAGCTCTTAGTCACTGCAGGGAGCGTGAACTGTTTCAGACCTGTTTTTTGAGTATCAGTGTCTTGGGCAGTTGACACAACCAGTGAGCTTTGAAAGAATACTGATTAAGGATAGGTTCTCTCTTTTGTTAGATATGTCCACACTCGACTAATACCTAACCAATTCTTCACTCATCGTATGTCTGTTGCAGCTGATTAGCACTTAATATTAATGAGAACAGAAGAATGTATATTTTTAGATTACTTTTCTACATTGTTAAAATCACTTTTAGTTTGATTTTTGCCTTCCAGTAGATCTCGAGGTTCTCCAACCTCCATGTTATTTATTTATTTTGTTACTTAGCTTCTTGTTAGTGAAAACATTGATGGAACTGATCCCAGGACGTTTCTGCAGAATATCCTTACAGCTTTCTATTTTGACAGTGGATTGTGGGTTTGATTTGTTTGTTTGTTTGTTTTTGTTTTCTTTTTGATAACTGTAGCTACTTCTGCATTCATGCTGTAATAGTTTCGTCTGGGCTATGTTTCTCCATCTCCCTTATGAGAACGTCCTGTGATAGTCAGACATCTACTAACATAAAGATACTTCATCTACGAGTTTTTTATTATGCTGTTATGGAAGACAGGATCAGTTTTGTTGTAACTTCTTCTTGACCAGCTTATGCCAGTTACTGTGGAAGAGGTAAATTTATCGGTACAGTTTGAGTAGTTATTTCAAAACTTTCTTTAGAATTAAAAATCAATAGTGTTAACTCTGATCAGTAAGTCCTTGTTCTTTCTCTTTTTCCATTTCTCTCCCCTCATTTTTAAATTTTCAAAATGCCAGTAACTTAAAATTTTCAAATATAACTATTGCTACTATTTTTGAGCCTGCTCCAGCCCATTTTAAACATATTTTATAGTGAAATTTTTTGGACCCAGATAATCTGCCAACATCTAGTTTAAGGAAACTTCTGACGTAACACATTCCTTTCTGTTGCTAGTCTGAACTCATTCCTTTATCGATGATACAAATATAACTGCTTGCAGTTGCCCTTATTAGCGGAGACGGAAACCATCAAACAGTTCATTCTTAACCCTATCAGCTGTCAGTTGTTTTTCCTCTCTGTTGCGCAGCTAACAGTTCATCTTTTCTTTTACTACCGCTGTATTTAGAACAATTTCTTCTTACTCCGGTTGGTTGTTTTGTTTTCTTTTTTTGGCTCTGATACCATACTAGTGTTCTGTTGTTGCTCCTCTGTCGTCTTTTTTAAAAAAAAAAATAAATCTATCCTAGTTTCCATTATTTGCATGCTTTCCTCTTTTGAGGTCAGTGAGGAGCTCTTTGGTCTGGTTAGTCCCTTTTCACATGTGCTACCCTTCCTGTGCATAGTTTGAGCTTGTTATCTTGGTGTCATTTCTTTGGGAACTGCTAGTTCTTCTGAACTCACGCTTTCCCTTAGATTTGCCTCCCATAAAACTTACCTTTCTGTGTCGGAACAGAAGAATAAGTGTGTATAAAAAGTCTTCAAAGCTTGTAATTAGATTCTGTGGAGTCTAGGCTGCCGAAGTGTCACGAGGGCAGCTTGAAATCGCTCTTCTTTCAGTGTCCTAAGGGGCTAAAATGGAAGCTAAGAATCTGAAACATTAAACACGCATCCCCTTTTCCCTCCTTTTCCACTTATGTCCTCTGTGATGGCAATAGTAACAAAGAGCAAAGGAGTCTATGCCCATCTTCTGCCACTAGATTTTTTCTTTTGGTAAATTAGCACTCTTCTAAAAGCAACAAGAAAGACCTTAATAAAAGTATTTTTATAGGGCTGCATACATGTGAGCTATCATTTCTCCTCAGATAAAACTCACCTGGTAGCTTTTCTTTCTTAGAAGCTGTCGATCTTGCTATATTTTTCTGTCTCAGATGGTGTTCTGAACAGCACTTGTATACCTGCTTTACTAACTCCTTCAACACGTATTTCCTGAGCTTGCGTTATTCAGAGGGCAAAACTGCTGTGCAAAATCCTTTGTTATTGATGAAATCAATGACAAAGGAGGAAACCAGCCTGCACCCTTAGGAACGTGTCCTAAGTTTGCACCTACTCTTCATTTAGCATAAGCAGGTGCAGGTCTTCTAAAGGCCCTGGAATTGTATTAGTGATTAATGTGGATTTATCTACTTTCCTCGTTAGGCTTAGGAAAATACAGCTTGGAATAAAAGGTAGAATTGTTTTTTCATTTTTGTCACATCTCTTAAGCATACAGTTCAGCCTGGTTGCAGCAGTGAAGTTGTGTGGGTTTTATGCATCTATCTATTCCCTTTTCTTTGTCCTATTTCACATAAACCATTTGTATCAGATCTTTCTCATTACCTCTGTCACCTTGTGCTGAATCCCTCTCTCTGGATTTCAGTCTTCCTTTTTCACTGTTTCTGTTCTGTTTTCCTTCAGGTTCAAAACATTCTCCACTGACTTTCTTCGTCTGCAATTAGTAGCAAGGAACTGAACCACTAAAAGTATCTTGAAGATTCCTTTTAGTTTTCTAAAAATTTCTGGTCAAGGCTCTTTATGTTTCTAAAAGCTTCATTCAACGGCTCTGCTTCTTCAGGCTCTATTTTGTAGGAATATTTTTCTCTAGTGTCTGGCTTTATAAACTGAAGCAAGTACAGCATAAAGAGCAAGGGAAATCATTTTTTTTTTTTCCTTACCTCCTATTCAAGTTGTTGCTGAGTTGAGTTATAGAGGGATACGCTGGAATCTGTTGCTTTCTACATACTAGCAGAAAGTAATGTTTGCTTTTCAGATGTCTTTTTTTCTTCAGACTTCAGACTTTTTGATCTCTCTCCCAACAACTATTATGTTAATAGAGTTTATGGTTACAGGTTAAAAAGTAAGTTTGATTTCTTGCTTCTTCATACCAAATAATTTCACCTGGCCATTAAAACAAGAAGTGAACCATTAGGCACAAATATTGATTAGACTAATGAAAAACAGAGAATACGAAAGTCTTCCTTGTTCTGATGCCTGATGAGATGGTCCAGATTAGCATTCTCTACAAATTATCAAATTAAAACCCTGTCTTGCAACTACATCCTTTAACAGGTCTGCCCCAAGGCTCTGAGTGCTAGATGAGGGCTTAAGTGAAGAAACCCACCACCCCCCAAAAAGGCAGATTTTAAATATATTACAGGAATTACTGCTTGTAGTTCAGGTTGCAAAGACAGCTTCCTCCTTAAAGAATTTGCAGTCTGTATATCATCAAAAAGCAGAGAAGGGTTAACTGGCAATGTGAGATTTGCCCAGTTGTGATTGTGATGGGAGAATAGCCTATGTATTCCTGTAGTCCAAATCCAAGGCCTTTCTGCCTGCAACAGTCTGACAACTCAGTTTGAGAAGTGATGCTTAAACTTGATTTATAAAGAATTGTCATCACTTGTGGAAAAATCAGGAAGATTTTGCTGTCTTCAAAGAATTGTACTGTAATGTCTTGGTTGGGAAGCGAAAATGCTGCCAGCTTTTTCTAAAATAGCCTGATGTGCAGACTGTTGCAATGAGAAGTAATGAGCTACTGCTGTACGCTGAAGCCTGTATGTAACACCGTATATAGCACATAAGCCTTAAGGACTCAAATTTTCTCCCCAGTGTTAAGATTACTTTGCGTTTTGTGACTGGATTCTAGTGGTTGTGAAAATTAGGCTATTACAGGGTTACATCTTATTAAAAGATTAATGTGATATTTAAGTGAAATTGGGTATGTTTTCTCAACAGTTGGCTGAAGGCTTTGTTAGGGAATATTTCCCTTATAATCTGCAGCAACCAAAGAGCACAAAATAAATACTTCAGCATTTGCCAGATTTCTGGAGAGAGTTTCTTCTGTTTCATGTTTCATTTTCCTGTGGAGAAGCTTGTCTGATTCATTCGTAAAGCTGGCATCTCTCACCCAAAAACCTGCAAGCATTAATCGAGCTTAAGGAGAATATCATGTGGACATGAAATACTACAAGTGAAAAGAGACTTGTCAAGTCTATTACTTTGGTCACTGAAGTGCTATTTTTGGTCACTCTCAGTCTTATTGTTAAGATGTTC